GTGCATCATAGTTTATAGCATGCTTTACCTACACGTATCTCATGAGAATGTCATGCATGGCTCTTTTGTGATGGAGGTATCAGTAAAAAAAAAGTGTAAAGCCTTTTGCTGTAAACCATAACTTGAAAGCTTCAATGCCACAAAATGAATGTATAAATTGGGCCCGGTATAAGTTGGTAGGTGATGAGGTCTATAGCAAATGAGAGAGATCCATTTCTGCTTCAAGCTATGAACATTTAGAAATACATCTAAACCCGCGAGCCAAACAAAACATTTCTGCCTGCCTCACGTGCAACCTCTCCTCCACACTAGCAGAACATAAGATGCGGAAGAAAAAATAAAGTGAGAACCCACGCGTGGGACGAGATGGGATGAGAAACGGGTTGGGTCCCAGAAATGGAGCCTGTTTAAGCAAGGGATGATAGAGGTTGCCGGTGTCCCTCCAGTGTCATCAACATGCTCCTTCTTTCTCTTTTGACATGGTTTTGTTGTTGTTGTTGTAGTATTATAGAGGGTGAAAAATATTACAGTGACATGGCCTTGGACTGAGTCTCTTCAGTCAGTTTCCTTATCTGTAAAATGGAGAAATGTTAACCACCATAGAGTTGTGAGGTTACATGAGAGCAAGACAAAGGCTTAGCAGAACTCCCTTCACACTGTAAGTGATAAGCAAATGCTAAGTATCGTCATTCTCATCATCACCATTGGGCATAACCACTTCCTGACTCATTCCTTGAACTTCTCCTTAGTATATACAGTCGGCCCTCTTTATCCAAAGGTTTGTCACTCATGGAGTCAACCAACCGGGACTGAAAATATCACCAAAAAAAAAAAAAAAGGTTGGGCACAGTGCCTCGGCTCATGGCTGTAATCCCAGCACTGTGGGAGGCTATGGCAGGAGAATCACTTAAGACCAGGTGTTTGAGGCTGCAGTGTGCTATGATCATATCATTGCCCTCCAGTTTGGGTGACAGACTGAGACCCCATCTCTTAAAAAATAAATGCTTCTGTACTGAACTTGTATCAACTTTTTCCTTGTTATTATTCTTTAAATAATACAGCATAACAGCAATTTCCACAGCATTTACATTGTATTAGGTGTTATAAGTAATCCAGAGATAACTTAAAGTACAGGGAGGTTATGAGTATGTTAAATGCAAATACTACGCCATTTTATGTCAGAGACTTGAGCATCCATAGATTTCGGTATCCTCAGGAGGTCCAGGAACCAATCCCCTCTGAATACCAAGGGACCACTCAGGAAGATCAAGATCAACTTTTGGAACTGTGTTATAAGAAGCCTCAGTCTGTCTGGCTTGCCACAGGAAAAGCAGGGTTGTTGCCTCTCACTCAAATATATTTCAACAACCACAAACCCAAATACAAAAGCGTCCCTTCTCTGTGGGCTTATTGATAAGCTCAAATAACCTCATTTCATTAAAATTATAAAAGTTACTGGGCAAGTTGGACTCTACACACCAGTAGTCACACTGGTACTAACTAAATGACATTCGTAGAAACACACCAAGAATTTGGCTCAGTTGAAAATGCAGTGACTGAGCGTCTTGTCTGTGTCTGACCCTACGTGCAGTTCTGAAAGTAAGTGTGGGATGGAGAGGGCAGCCTCTGACCTCAAAGTCCTGACTTGCCCAGACTGGAGGGGAATACAAAATCGTGAGCGGATCATGTGAAGACAAACACAAATAAGTGTCTGAGTCCCTCACTCTGGTGTGCGTGCTTTCTTCAACCTCTTCCAGTGGGACTTTCTAAGTACTGTAGAAAAGCAGGGACTAGTGTGCTGTGAAAAGACTGAGGAAAGATCCATGTCTGTTCTTCAAAGTCTACTTTTAGCTCTACAACTTCCGGGAAGTGTTCAACGCCATTTTGTTCTTTGTCTTACTAGAAATCCTCTGAAAATTGCTACTTAGTCATTTTGGCCACTATTCATTTTCCACTGAAAGTGGAAATGTAGTGGCTTTTGGGACAAATGCCCTATATACCCAACTAGATTGTAGGAAGTCCTCTGTAGGGAAGGACCCGTGCTCTTTTGGGCGATGTACATTGCTATAGCTGCATTCATCTGAAAATCAATGTTTTGTTGTTGCTACCAGATTACAAGTTGGTAGAAAAACAGTCCACAGATAATAGATGCAATGATGAAACACCGTTTCATAATTTTTGAAAACTTTTTGGTGCAGTTTAAGCATTTAGGCTAGATTAGAGACATCAAAAACTGTAAGTATAAGCCTATATCTGTTATATAGTAAATGTACTGTTTTCACTTTTAATCGACATTTATATTTTTAGTCCTACTTATAACCGGTGGTAACAACTTGCTCTTACTCACAGGGAAAAAAGATGATACATTCAATAGCCCCAGAAATCAAGAGTTACAGCTAGAAAAAACTTATGACGATTACTCACTTGCTTGAATACCACATGCAAAGATGGTAGATGGCAAGGTAATACTCCTAAAAGTCAAAATCTTCAGTTTGCCTTATGCTAACTTATCTTCTAAATCTGTTTTCTAAATATTGTGACTGAAATTTAAAGAAAAATATTTTTATTAGCATAAATATTTGCTTTGAAAAAGGTCAAGAAAAAATAGCTAACAATGAAATGACTTTAAAAAAACAAGTACATAATTACAAGCAGAACCCTATATACGTTTATTTTCAATATCTAAGATTCTACCACTCTGTGTCTGAGTTATTTCACTTTATCTTTCCTATCTTTCATATCTGTCTGAGGAAAGAAAAATAGCTCAGAGCAGTCTGAGCTACATGAGCAAAGCAAAATCTATCAGGCCTGAAGAGAGAGAGTATGGGACTTTACTCCCCTCCACCGTTCCCCAGGGGCAGTTGTTTAAAGGCATTTTGTTCCTGACTAGCTGCCTCACCCGCTATCCTTATGTTCCTGAAAATTGTGCTATAAAGAATAATATACAGCTAATCAGTACCTTATATTATTTTAATGTAAATTCTTGGTGAACAACTTAGGGACTGTCCTCTTATTTTTCTTAAAAACCCACTTGTAACTGTTGCTAACTGGAGTGTTTATTCAGAACAACTTGAATCTATGCTTTGGAGCTCAAAGGGTCAACTATATTTTCTGAATCTCATTATTTAAGGTTGACATGTCTTTTCCTTTCATTTCCATTACCACTAGTGAAATTCCGCTTTTCATTACTTCTTGTCTAGATTACTGCAACAAATACCTCACCAGTTTCTTGAATTCCTCTTCAAGTTTATCTTTTACCATAGGGGTCCCCAACACCTGAGTCATTGGCTGGTACTGGTCCATGGCCTGTTAGGAACCGGGTCACACAGCAGGAGGTGAATAGTGAGCATCTTCTGTCAGACAGACGGGGCATTAGATCCTCACAGGCATGCAGAACCAACAGTGAACTGCACATGTGAGGGATCGAGGTTGCATGCTCCTTATGAGAATGTAAGGCCTGATGATCCCACCTCCCCTGGTCCGTGGAGACACTGTCTCCCACAAAACTGGTCCCTGGTGTCAAAAAGGTTGAAGACCTCTTTTACCAGATGTTGGATTAATCTTTCAGTGGTGTAGCTCTGAATTTGGAGTCTCCAGCTGAAGCATCTGCAGCGCCTTCCTCTTGCTTACAGAGCAAAGTCTAAACTGCCTTAGTGCAGAGATCTGTGCTCTTGTTCCACTTTTCCATACTTTTCTTCCAGTTGTCTGCTGTATACCCTCCACATAGTACATACATGTGCACATTCTGCCCACTAGAATGAAACTATTCATGATTCCTATACCTGCCTTTCACATTCTAATCTCTGCTCATCTCATCAATGTCTCCCCTGAGCCTAGGATGTGCTTCCATATTCTATTCGTGTTCCAGGACCAAGTCTGTATGTCTCTTATGCGCCTCAGAAGGAATTCGCATTCTTTTTTCTGACATGTTTTTACTGTTCTTTTATAGAACTTACTATTTTATACTTTAAAATACATACATGGAAGTATTTTTCTTCACTACTGGAAGGTGAATGCTCTTTGAAAGTAGAGCTTATGAAAGGTCCACGTTGTAAGCTCTATTGTGCTGAATAGAAAGGCTTTCAACATGGCAGATATACACATAGTTGCTGAAGAATTGACTGAGTAGAATCATGAACATTTAGTAGCTTTAGAACTGTGGAGGTTGTATAAGGGGTGGTATAGGGGATCTGTTGGAACCTTACTGATGGTCATGAAATGGAGACGATTGATTATTGATGATCGATGTGGGATAATCTGACTTGCTCCGAAAACTCAGTCATGGTTGTGCGAAAGCTCTCTACAGAAACTGTGGGCTTCCATGGGGGGAAGCAGTGGGCAACAGGAAGTGAACACAGTTCTCTACCCTACTCAGCCTTCAATGGAAACTGCTCCGTTGTGTACGCTGGCCTTCCCTGTAAGACTTTGCTTAGAGAAAGATCTCACCTGTCAAGAGAGTTCTTGACTGTCCACAGGATTCCACAACTGGGACACTCTGGTTCTATATGCTTCAAGTCTCTATTTTTTCATGAAAGCCTCTTCTCATGAACACTAGTAAATAAGCTGTTGCGGTTTGGATGGATTTACTAACACAAAATACTCAAAGTGGTAGCACAAAGTAAAGCTGGAGTTAATTTTATGTCAGATCCGACTTTAACACCCAACTTAAGACCAATCTTTTTTTAATAGCCATTAAGCTTAGTCTCTGATCTGACCTTACTGGCCTGGAAACCAGTTAACCGGTACATCTTACCGACATCACTAGCTTTCTAGACATTCTTCATAGATTTAAAAGATCCCTGACAAGCAGTTACGCAGCTTTCTCTCCCTGCAAGAGACAATGGCAAAACTTTCCACCACCTAGCCTTACAGTAGCCTGTCCCCTCACCCACAGAACACCTCGATCTGCAATAAATCTAAAATGTGTCTTCACCGAAATCTGTCTTAGACTTCGAGTCAGTTCTACACTCCTAAGTACGTTATTTAGGGGGGGGAAGTACCTGTTCAAGTCACGGTGTATAATTGGCTGTGTCAGGTTGTGAAGGTACTCCATGCCTTTGGCAACATCCACTGCAATAATTAATTTGGACTGCAAATCAAGAACCCTGGAATTTAAAAATAGATTTAATGGAGAGGAAATGGTGAAAGCCAATAATGTATCTTAAAAAAAAAATCAAATGGTGTGTGAGATTTGTTATTCTGTATGATTTCAGCCTTTTTTTTTTTCTTTCTTGAAAGTTAAGCTAAACATTGAACAAATCTAGAAAAAATGCTTAAGAAAGTAATCAATTATAGATCAACTCAGATATAAATCACTTCTCGTTTAAAACATGATACTTGGTTTCCTAATTTATTTGTAATATTATACTTAATTTCTTTGTAATAATGTAAAAATGAAATCTATTTTAATCACTGAGTGAAACTACATTCTAATCGTTGTATGCATAGACCTAGGAAGTGAACTCAAATTAGATTTGTGAAAGATCATTCTTTTTTAAAACTTTCTTTTATAAATACTCTGATTCCTATTAATTATTTTACTCTGAGCTTACGTATATCTGCTTTATTGGTATGTCAAATTTAGCCTAATTATTTTAAGCTTCAGTTGCCAATTTGAATCCCTTGAATCCTTTAGCTTCACCTGAATTCTGTTAGAAAGCACAGAAGTATTTCTGAAACACAATTGTTAGGCATGAGTTGCTGGCCATACTTAAGATGCCATATTTGTTCACACGTGGATCTCAGAAGCCCCTGAAGTGCTGCACAGGTAGTTCTGTGGCATGCCCAAGGATAAATCGGAACAAAGACCCATACCTCTTCTGTTCATGAAGGAGGGAGAACAGAGAACCCCCCGGTATGTGCTGTGTGACGATGGCAAACTGGCTGGGATCGTTCAAGCAGGCGCCCACAAACTGGACCACACAGGGATGGTTGAGCTGGCAGAGAATGGACACCTCTTGGCAAAACATGTCCACATCTGACTTGGAGCAGTAGGTGTGGCCTCGGTACCTGGAAACAGCAGCAACAGGACATGCTTGATCAACAGGTGGGCCCGGACAAAGGGTTTGACACGCTCACACTTCTCAAAGGTCGCAGCTCCACCTGGATGCTGCGTTTTTTCATCGACTTGCTTGCCGTTTTATGGCCACTATCTTATTCCTGCATCGTCCTTTGTATACTTTCCCAAAAGAACCTACAGTTATTGAAAAGAAATAGAGAAACACATATTATCTCGAGCCCATTAAACAGAAGCAGATCTGTCTTTTTTTTGGTTACCTGAGTCGATTATCTCATGGAACTCAATTTCTGAAAGCTGAAGGTGCAAATGTGAAGGCAACCCAGCTCTTAGGAGGAGAACGTCTGCCTTCTCTGCAAATAGGAATGGTCGTTTTTATTTTTTAAGATCAAAGCACACATGGGGATGTGCACCCCATGCATATATACACTTCACCCAAACATCATTTCCTAATAGCATTTAATTTTCCAGCTGTAATTAAAAGATACAAAAACCTCAACACAAATGGTCCTTGCCCCTGCATTAAAATCATGTTGGTTTTCTGTCTCAGCTACTCACCCCTGGTTATTAGGGCTAAGGTTTATTCCTGATCTGTCCACCAACCAGCTTGCTTACATGACACTGAAGCCCTGGAGCACAGTCTGCATTTCATCACAATGAAAGTTCCCATCTGGTCACCTCTTCAACCCATCCCTGGAGGCTTAGCCAAATGCCTTTAAAACTGAGCCCCAAGGATATGCCAATTCAGTGACAAATCAGCATATGAATCATTCTGAGGAACTACCCCAAACCAAAAACTAACCTCAAAAGACTTCAAATTCCAAGCAGTTAAATATATATTTACAGTTGAATCATATGTTTTACTTTCCTGGTCCAATGGTTTTAATTACTGTATACAGCATACATTCAAAAAAGTTCCCAAAGTATTAGTTATTTGGATATTTTGAAAAAATCATTTTTTTCAAATGTTTTTTTCTAAGGCAAACCTCTTCCCAATTCTTCTTAAAGAAATACTAGTATTTATAAGACACTCTTACTAAAAAGTACAAATATTTAAACAGCACTGTGAGAATTTGATCTTTTTTTGATACCATGTGAAATTTTTATGGTTATATCTTTATTTACTGCAAGGACATAAGAGGTTAAGGCTAATTATGGAAAGCATGGTCTGTTGTTAACTTTGCTTGTGCTTGTAAAACTGTCATCATTTGTAATATGGAAAATAAAATGGAAAGTTATTATATTTGAAGCTATAGCTATCCTTAGGAATCAAAGACAACAATTGTCTCATAGTAGAAATACCTTTTGTCATGCTTTTAATCTTCCCCAAGGGGGATGGAACAGACACGTAGGAGTCATCTAGAAATCAAATTATGTAACAGAGTTGAATCATTTTTTTTTCTACATGAAAGTTCAACAATATATAAAGAAGCAGGTGACGAAACCAAAGAAACTAACAGCTGAAGACCCAAATCTTTCTCTGGAAACTGAAGCTGTATTGCAAGTGTTTATTTAGAAAGGGCATAAAAAACTTTTTTAAAAAATCCAAGTTGTAGCAGGCTCTAGCAGATTTGTGTCTGGATAGGCATACTCAGTAATGGGTTACTGAAATGGAACATGGCCGCTCTCCACATACCCGGGCCTTCCCAGACACACACAAGCCTCATACACATCCAGTCCAGGGAATGCTAAGCTTAGAGGAACTGCAGATTGGTGAATCAGAAAATAGCTGAAATAGAAGCTTCTTTACGTTCAGCCTCTCCCAGACATGAGCTTTCTCAAAATAAAACTCGTCTGATGTAGGCTATGCCCTCCTCCCTAGCCCCAGAATAACAGTCACAGAAACTTTAGACACACTGTGGCACGATGACGGATACTGGGTGAGAAAGGGGGTACCTCCTCCAGGCTGAGATCACTCATTGGTTCAGAATAACGTATCAAGACTCTGGTCGACGTGAGGCACTATGTTGGGCGTGCTAATAGGTGCTGGGGACACAGGGACCAGAGTGACCAGGATCCTACCTTAAAGGGCTCACTGTATGGCTGAGCAAATAACTATGAAAGTGATGAGAATTTCAAAATGATGAAATACTAGATGCTATGGGAATATATAATACGGGCATGATTAAAAGGGTGAGAAGCACATACGGTCACCAGGAAAGGGAAATGTACAAGGGGGACAAAGTAAAAAAAAAAAAATCCAGAATTTATATTAAAAAATTGTGTATGAGCCGGGCTCAGCGGCTCAGCCTGTAATCCCGCGCCTTGGGAGGCTGAGGTGAGTGGATTGCCTGAGCCTGCGGGGTCGAGACCCGCC